AGGTTTTGTTTGGCAGATTGATGTATTCTTTTGGGGGGTAGTGTCTAAAAAGTGAGGGAATATGCTGAGCTCGATCTGGTATGCTTCTCTAGGTTAAAAATCTAATTCCTTTCACTTCATAATGGCTAAATTTCTCAACTTTAAAATGTCATAAAGTTGGCTTCTTTTTGATGCCTGTATATCATATGATAGAATCAGAAGGGAATACGGTTTTATAGTCCATGATGAAGTTGAGCTACTTTATTAATTTAAATTTAAGCATATAATCTTTTGTGATATGAATTAAAACATATATCAATCAAGTTTTATAGAATATATATATATATATATATATGTTTGCAAATGTTTGGGAGATCCCTGTTTTGTACTCTAAGATGCGCCGGACTACAAAATAAGAACCATTGGATGGGGAACAACCTCCAATATCAGGGGGCTCGCTCCCATTTAGTGGTTTAAGTTGTGCAGTCTAGGCTGGGTTATATTTTCTTTGTAAGAGATTAGATTTTTGGTCTTGTTTTTTTTATGTAACTCTTACAGGTTGCAGCTCATATTGTCATCCCCTGATGCAGATCCGCCAGTTGTCCGAATAATGAATTATAAGTATGAGATGCTTCGCAGCTTGAGATTAGGGGAATGAAACAAATTAGATGTTTATGTCTATAAATCTTTATGCAACTGAAAACAGTCTTTCCTTTTCCTGCTTAGTGAAACTAAATACTTTATTGCCATGGATTCCTCAAACAAGGGAAACAGCTAGATATCACCAGGCTGCTATGCCATTTCCTTTATGATTTATTCATTCACCATTTTATTGGATCTCATGTTTGACAGAATTTTACACTGGTGTGGGTAGTTATACACTAATGCTTGAACAATGATAAATATTTGGTGTTGAATCCAATATCATTAATTCACATGTGCTTTTAGATTCCGCTGTTTCATTTCAAGAACTTTGTTCAAAAGCAAAGTTCTTGGCTATTTTGGGTATCATCATAACCTTTTTTAGTTATTGTAAACAGTTAGAACATTGATCAGCATGATTATTCTGTGTGTTTGAAATCTCTGAAGAAGTTTTTGAAAGATGTCAACAAGGTAGTTTGTATTTTCTAAGGATGCTTGCACGTCTATACCTACCATATTAGAACATATTTTTGTTACTATGCTTTTTTTTTTGTCTATTATACTGAAATGTTTTTGTTGATGCTTTCAGGTTAAAGTCCTAGTGATCCTGAAAGGGTGGGAAAATGAGTTCAGAAATACTGCTATTGAACTTACCAGATGTTTCCAAAATGATCGATTTGGTGATGTACATTATGGAATAGCTAATCCTATTCATGAACAAGCAATAATATTCACTAAGTTTCAACCATTGCAATATTCATTTTAAGTTGCTTTTAGTATAAATCATGCAGCTGATCATTGAGTTGGGTTAGGAAATTTTTAAGTGCTTACAGGGTTTGAAACAGCAGAGCGGATTTGAATGGAGAATATAATAAGAACTTTTTGACATTAGAAAGCTGAAATTTTGCATTGAGATTTAACCCTTGGTTGTTCGTTCTAGGTTTTTCTTTTCTGACCTTGGAAGATGAAATGATTGAATATCTTTTTTATTTTACAGATTTGGTAACAAGTAGTTAAGAACTATGGTTCAGTATATGCGACTGAGGGATTACTCAGTACAGTAAGCAAACCATCATCTCTAGTTGTGTTGTTTTAGCTTTCACTTCTCTACAGGGACCCTTCTGAGTTGATTCATCTTTACTTCCGTTGCATGTGAAAAATTTTTTATAGTTGTTTTATGCATAGTCTTTGCGCCTGTCTAGAATTTGGTTTATCACCAATATTCTCTAGATCCTGAATTTTAACTGCTATTTTGTGCTGATCAACAGCTTGCAACCGAGGAGAGCAAGAAACTTCAGTGACCAAACATATTTATAGTTTTGGTTCCAAGTAAAGCTGTTCTACAAAAAACTCAAGAACTTGGAGAGAGAAAGGATAAACTAACCACAAATGAAGTGTCGGCCAGCACCTGATTGCAATAGAGTCTTAAAGGGAGCTTTTCCGGCACTAGAATCAACAGACATGTTCAACTTTTGTTCTTGGGGGGAATCGCAGCAGTTTTTTATAGCATTTAATAGTCAATCACAATCTGTATCAAATCTTAGTTTTTGGTAATAGAAGCAATCTTTTCTAAATGAAATTGGTGTAGATTCAAGCATCACTCTCAAGTCTCAACAACTGAGCTACAGGTGAGTGTATGTTGTCTGTACTAGCTGAATATATCCTTTAACCTGTGAAGAAAGAGAAGATATTTCCAACATTCTGTGCCAGATATTTTCCACACTGTTTTCCTGTGCATGCAACTTCTTAAGTGGGCTATTGTATTCTGATTAGCTGTTAGTGTAGTGAGTATGCAGAAAGGGGCTGGTATTATTAGAGGGTTAGAAGGGCTGTGCTGTCTGGATGTAGAGACTCCAACATACCCACCAAATGAATTGAACTTGACTTGAGTTTTACATTCTTCCATTCCAAGCAAGTAGTCTGTTTTTCTCACCCTTTAACCTCCTTCCATTCCAAGCAAGTAGTCTGTTTTTTCTCACCCTTTAACCTCCAAAGAAAGCGATGCTTGTCTAAATCATGCCATAAATGCCTTATTATTTTCTTTTCCTAGTCCAAGGTATGCATGGATTTGCATCTTTGATTTCCTGCCTTCGACCTGAAAATCGGTGCCCACATGCGCACACCAATGAGGATTTAGACAACATGACCTTCCAATCATGGCATAATTATTTGGGAATATTGAGATTCTGGGTAATCTGTGCTTTATTGAGCTCGAGCAAGAACAATATTAATGACCGTTTTCTTTGTGATCTGTCTTCTATGAATGCCCTTGGCCCATTGGGGGTATGTTATAATTAGTTCACTGGTCCACTGACCCATTGGTTCATGACTTTATGATGCCAAGGGGCATATTGCCCATTGTTTTTTTTTAGATTATACAATAAAAAGTAAAAATTTTTATTATTTAATTTATTTTACTTGTTATTTGACTATTTTATCATAAAAACTAAATTTATTATTAGAAAAACACGACTTTATAATTTATTGATAGTGCATATGCTAAACCAAAACCCTAAACTTAATTAAATATCTTTGTTTAAGAATGTTTCTCAATATTTTTTATATTTTTTTATTATTTTAAAAATATTTAAAATATTAATTAAAATAAATATTATATATTATATATATTTAAAAAATTAAAAATTTTACAACATTTTTTTTTACATTAACATCAGGATATTTAAAAGTTTATATTTTTTTATTTATAAAATTTGAATTCAAAATTTTATTTAAAAGTAATCAAATTTTTTTCATTTGGTTGAATAAATCTTTTTTCATTTGGATTAATAAATTCTTAAGAAAAATTTACAACTATATTTATAGTTCAGCACCGTCAGCTAAGCATAAGTACTTTTTTTTTTCATTTTTTCTTTTTTTACTAAGCAATAAAAACAATTGAACGATAAAATAAAAGGGAGAAAAAAGATATGAGCTGGGTGGTCGTTCAAAACCTGAAAAAGCCGGACAATAATGGCGCACAAACGGTAGTTGAAAAATAGACGAAGCTTAACTTCAGGGCAATGGCGACTCTGCACCCAACACCCCCTCCACCTTTCCCATATCTGCACACTTTAGGTGGGAGCTTCCTCTTCACATCTCCCCATGTCTTACCTTCCTTCATAAAACACTACCATCTTCCCCATTCTATACCCACATCACCCTCGCCACCCCTCATTTCGTCATGGAAGCAAGTGCAGGACTTGTCGCCGGTTCCCACAACCGCAACGAGCTGGTCGTAATTCATGGCCACGAAGAGGTATGTTGTGTACAGAACGGAAGGAGATAAGGTGTTTGTTGATATGTTGAGTGAGTTGGATAACGTGGGTTTTTTTGGTTTTTGTTGCAGCCCAAGCCTTTGAAGAATCTGGATGGTCAGGTTTGTGAGATTTGCGGGGATGACATTGGCCTGACTGTGGATGGAGATCTTTTTGTGGCCTGTAATGAGTGTGGCTTTCCGGTTTGTAGGCCCTGCTATGAGTATGAAAGAAGGGAAGGAACTCAGCATTGCCCTCAATGCAAAACTAGATACAAGCGTCTTAAAGGTATTAATTAATTAATTTGGTTCTTCTTACCTATACATAGGCCTAGAGGATATGAATTAATGTTTTAGCTTGATTATATTGTGAAGGGAGCCCTAGGGTGGAGGGAGATGAAGATGAAGAGGATGTGGATGATATTGAGGACGAATTTAAGATTGATGATGAGCAGAACAAGCACATGCATCTTGCAGAAGCCATGCTTCATGGTAAGATGAGCTATGGAAGAGGCCCTGAAGATGACGAAAATGCTCAATTCCCACCAGTTATAACCGGCGGTAGATCCAGACCAGTACGCCAAAACCCTTGTTAGGATATTGCTCTTCTGCTTTCCTTTAATTTGACTTTGTATTTGAACATCTAATGTGCATGATCCATACAGGTAAGTGGTGAGTTTCCAGTTGGAGGGGCTCATGCTTATGGAGAGCAGATATCGTCTTCTCTTCATAAACGAGTGCATCCATATCCCATGTCAGAATCTGGTATGTCTTCCTGTGGAATTGTTTACAAAACTTTTTGCTGTAAGCAATGTAAAACACCAAACTCAGGAGAAGCATGATCTCTCACAATTTCTTCTGCAATTCTTGAAAACAAAAGGAAATGCAAGATGGGACGAAAAGAAAGAAGGAGGCTGGAAAGAGAGGACAGATGACTGGAAAATGCAGCAAGGGAACCTTGGCCCTGAACCAGACGATGCCAATGATCCTGACATGGCCTTGTAAGCACACTTTAACAGGAATGCATGACTTCATAATTGAAGAAATTCCAGAACTATTGTTATTGACTTACATTATCTGAAGAATTCTATATACCATACACAATCCATAAATGAGCATTTTTTCGTGTTTTTTGTACTGGTTACAGGATTGATGAAGCTAGGCAGCCATTGGCAAGGAAAGTTCCAATTGCATCTAGCAAGATCAATCCTTATCGTATGCTGATTGTGGCTCGACTAGTTATTCTTGCTTTCTTCCTCCGGTATAGAATTTTGAACCCCGTGCATGATGCAATTGGGCTCTGGCTGACTTCTATTATCTGTGAAATCTGGTTTGCATTTTCATGGATCCTTGATCAGTTCCCCAAATGGTTCCCTATTGATCGTGAAACATACCTTGATCGCCTTTCCCTCAGGTGCACATACATATTTCATGTTTTCATTTGACAGCTAGGGTCTTCACTCATTGGGATGATTAGTTTGCCTTATTATATATTTTGGTTTTTCTTTCTTACGCCCAGGCGCACGAGGGTTAATGGAATTTGTGATGCAGGTATGAGAGGGAAGGGGAGCCAAATATGCTTGCTCCAGTGGATATATTTGTCAGTACAGTCGATCCTACAAAGGAACCTCCTCTTGTTACATCAAACACAGTATTATCAATCTTGGCCATGGACTACCCAGTGGATAAAATCTCATGCTACGTCTCTGATGATGGTGCTGCCATGTTAACCTTTGAGGCTTTATCTGAAACTGCAGAATTTGCTCGAAAATGGGTACCTTTCTGCAAGAAGTTCTCCATAGAGCCTCGAGCCCCAGAATGGTACTTCACCTTAAAGATTGATTATCTCAAGGACAAAGTCCAACCGACATTTGTTAAGGAGCGCCGTGCCATGAAGGTTTGTAGAAAACTCCTTCAGCTCCCTATGTGTTTAATCTGCAAAAAGCTAATTTAGTGAAATTTATAATCAATTTTCTTGGCACTTTCATAGAGAGAATATGAAGAATTCAAGGTTAGGATAAATGCACTTGTAGCAAAATCCCAAAAGGTTCCTCCAGGTGGTTGGATCATGCAAGATGGGACCCCATGGCCAGGAAACAATACTAAGGATCACCCTGGGATGATTCAAGTGTTCCTTGGTCACAGTGGAGGCGTTGATGCTGAAGGAAATGAGTTGCCTCGCCTCGTTTATGTATCTCGTGAGAAAAGACCTGGTTTTCAGCATCACAAGAAAGCCGGTGCCATGAATGCCTTAGTGAGTATCTTAGTCACTCACATTTACAGATTTTTCCTTTGTTAAAATTCCTACTTCCTCTATGTCCTGATTTATGCCAAGTTTATTGATTCTCTTCAAACTTCAGATTCGTGTTTCTGCAGTGCTTACAAACGCTCCATTTATGCTGAACTTGGACTGTGACCATTATGTGAATAATAGCAAGGCTGTGAGAGAGGCCATGTGTTTCTTGATGGACCCCCAAATCGGAAAGAGAGTCTGCTACGTCCAATTCCCTCAAAGATTTGATGGAATTGATAGACATGATCGCTATGCCAACAGAAACACTGTCTTCTTTGATGTAAGTACAGAGATTTCCACCACTCTGAAGAGGCCCTCATGCTCTATTCTGCTCCTTCAAATTGTATAAGAAGAAAATAAACCAGTACTCACTGTTGTTAACCCTGGTATCTGCAGATTAATATGAAAGGTTTAGATGGTATTCAGGGTCCTGTGTATGTCGGCACAGGATGTGTCTTTAGAAGACAAGCATTATATGGCTATGAACCTCCAAAGGAAGCGAAACGCCCTAAGATGGTAAGCTGTGATTGCTGCCCTTGCTTTGGACGTCGCAAAAAGGATAGGAAACACTCTGAACATGCTGGAGATGGTGCAAGCAATGGTATTTTTATAACTCTGGTCTTCAACTCTTTCTTTTTGTACTTTTCGTTACCGATATAAATTGTGTTTGCATATTCGCAGGTGTAGATGATGATAGGGAGTTATTGATGTCCCAAATGAACTTTGAGAAGAAATTTGGGCAGTCAGCCATCTTTGTGACTTCTACTTTGATGGAAGAAGGTGGCGTCCCTCCTTCCTCAAGCCCTGCAGCCTTGCTAAAAGAAGCCATTCATGTAATTAGCTGCGGTTATGAGGACAAAACTGAATGGGGTTCTGAGGTATTGCAAACCCTGTGGAATATTAAACCTTTAATGCCCTTTTAAGTTGAAAATCTGTGGTTCTGATTGGCTTTTATAAATGCAGCTTGGCTGGATTTATGGCTCAATTACGGAGGATATCTTAACAGGCTTCAAGATGCATTGCCGTGGTTGGAGGTCTATCTACTGTATGCCAAAGATACCTGCATTTAAGGGTTCAGCTCCTATCAACCTGTCAGACCGTCTCAATCAAGTGCTCAGGTGGGCACTTGGCTCTGTCGAGATCTTCTTCAGTCGCCATTGCCCTGCCTGGTATGGCTTCAAGGGAGGAAATCTCAAGTGGCTCGAAAGATTTGCCTATGTTAACACAACTATCTATCCCTTCACCTCCTTACCTCTCCTCGCCTACTGTACTCTTCCAGCAATCTGCTTGCTCACAGATAAATTCATCATGCCACCAGTGAGTAAATGTTCATTCTTGCCATTACTTACAAACTCACTTTTTTAGCTATTTGCCTAACTCTCAATTACTCCCGCTGTAGATAAGCACCTTTGCGAGTTTATTGTTCATTGCTCTCTTCCTTTCAATCTTTGCAACGGGAATTCTTGAGCTAAGGTGGAGTGGAGTGAGCATCGAAGAATGGTGGAGGAATGAGCAATTCTGGGTCATCGGTGGCATTTCAGCCCACCTGTTTGCGGTGGTACAGGGTCTTCTAAAGATTTTAGCTGGAATTGACACCAATTTCACTGTGACATCGAAGGCATCAGATGATGAAGAGTTTGGAGAATTGTACACCTTCAAATGGACAACTCTACTGATTCCTCCAACCACTGTCCTGGTTATCAACCTGGTAGGAGTTGTGGCCGGTGTTTCTGATGCCATAAACAATGGATACCAATCATGGGGACCTCTTTTTGGAAAGCTATTCTTCTCCTTCTGGGTGATTCTCCATCTCTATCCATTCCTCAAAGGGCTGATGGGGAGACAGAACCGGACACCCACCATTGTTGTCATATGGTCAGTGCTATTGGCTTCAATCTTCTCCTTGCTTTGGGTCCGAATCGATCCATTTGTAATGAAAACTAAAGGACCAGCCACCGAGCAATGCGGAATCAACTGTTGAAGTATTAGTTTTCAGTCTTTCTTCTCTTATTGTGTTCTTCTCCATATTTTACATGGTATGTGGTGTATGAACAGGCAAAATGGAGATGCAGAAGAAGAAATAAACTTAAGACTAAAAATTTTTGTGCAGTAACGTATGCATTCTAGCCAGTTTTGTAATTGGATTGAAGCTAGTGGTTTCAACTTTCAAGAACATGTTGCATATATTAAAATCAAAATCCATATCTCATTTTTTTGCCTTTTCTTTGTTTAACTCCTAGCAAGCAGAGACGAGCTTGAGCAACCTGAGCTTGGAGCTGGGGGTGCTTGACTCCACTCATTTGCAGCATATTCATTCCTCGTCAATTTTTCTGTCACATGTTACAGACTTTTAAGCCGTCATCAAATAGGGTTTGAATTCGTTGTAATCAATGAGGTTTGTTTTTAACAGCTAAAGCCAATTATGCTAACGTAAAACTAAACTTTTCTAGTGCCATTGAGGAACTAACGAGAGTATTCTGATTATCTAAAGACATTGATTTCTATAAGCTTCATTTGCATGATACCTAGGAAGCATAAATTACAATGACTAGCAAAGCTCACCAGATGAGTGTACGGTATATATTTGTGTTAAATTCTTTTATAAAAAGATCAGAATTCAACACATTTTGGCATGAGAAGAAACGAAAATTATTGTTAGAAATTTTATAAATAAAAAATGGGGTTTTGGAGAAAACTTAATATTATAGAATGTAACATTATATCTACTCTAATTTTCTAGCTTTCTAATATATTGTGGGTCTTAGAAATGATAATAAAATTTTTTAAAATATATTTTTAACTATTAAGCCACACAGTTTATTTGAATGTATTTTTTTCTTCAGAATTTCATTTGCATGAAACCCAAGAAGAATAAAATTAGAATGGATACATTTAGTTATTCAAGTTTCTAAGGAAGAGTACAACACTAATTGATGCTGTGTTGGTGATCGAGGGATTCAAAATGAGACTTCCCATAATCTAAATGTTGTTGTTGTGCCTAATAAGAGCACTATTGGTCCATTGACATTTACTTTTGTTTTTATCATGCTATCTTCCATATTCCTTTTCAGATACAAGCAATTAATACATGATATCTAACAACTCTTCTATAATCAGATACAAGGAAAAATTTACATTCATATCTACATTTCCGTCCTTTCCCCTTAAGCTTGGCCTCTGCATTGAATTTCAATACTTTTGCTCACTTTATATTTTCTTTTCTTAATGTGAAACAAAAATTAAAAGTATTAGAGCCTGTAGCTCTCTCTTTATAAAAACATCAAAAAAGAAAAAAAAAAGAAGATAAATTACCGTCAAAGTTAAGAGAATATATACTGAGAGCTGACCATGTCACTTATCTTGTTGAGATGGCAAGTTGGCAGGTTGTTAACCAAGGGACCTTGTCAGGGCCAAGGAAATGTTTTGGCTGCGAAAATTGGCTGCTCAGACCTCTTCGAACTTTGTTTTGTTTGTAAGAGATGAGAACTAAGGCTGTGCTCCTCCACCTGTTTGATGCCAAAAGCAATCAAATACCATCAATGGTATGCTGCAATGGCAGAAACCAAGCAAAGATAACTAGAGAAATGGTGTGGGGGAAGGGAGGGAGATCATTGTTTGATGCCATGTGAGAAATGAAAAATTACTATAGCCGAACTAGTTTGCTAGAGATTTTATGGAGCGGGAACATGTATGGCAATTGAATTGCATTCTTAAAAAGGAGTACCATATATTAAGGAGAAAAATGGCAAGATTAATAGACTCTATTAATTGATGCTAATCACTTTAGTTTAATATCTAGCCAGGTCAGAATATATCAGATCCATCTTCCATTTTTCATGGCTGATGCAGGATAAGCAATCCATTAATCAATTAATAAACCAACAAGAGCTAAGATTTAGCACCCAAGCCAAGGCTATGAGTGTCAGTTTCAAAAGATATGGACTAAACAGGCCTGAGCCACAGCCATACATCCCGAGTCTTGCATGTTCAAGCATGCTAAACCACCAGAATGATTTTGTGTAAAAAATCCATTGCCAAACAATCATGTATTTTGCACTTTACCTGCATGGCTGCTGTTAAAGCCAACAAAGCTTTGGATTGAACCAGCATAAGTTTCTCCTGTGCTGCTACGTCAGCCAGCTCAGAAGCCAAATTGTTTATCCTTTCCACCTGTAACATAAAAATTGTGATCCAGTTGAGCATCTAGAATCACACTTAAAAATGAAAAATTTACCAGCTAGACAAGTACATACAGGCACATCACTATCCAATGTTTCTAACACGGGAGTAATGTAGGCTGAAAATGTAAATTGCCAGAAAAAGAATACTCTTTTTTGCCCTAATGTGAGGAGAACCAGTTCAATCTATTATATGAGTTGACTGGTTAAAAAAAACCCCATAATGAGATTAGTCATCTACCAAAGGACATGATATGACTATTGACATTTTCCTAAATACCTTTGATTGTTATCAATGGCTAACTACCAGCATGGCATCATTTGCATTGCCAAACAGATAACAGCAGAAGGTTGCATTTCCTGTAAACTATGAGACAACTTCATTACCACCCATACTGAAGCATTATCATCTCAACCAACAATTCCCAACAATTCCTAATAATGAATTTAGCAATGTAAACAAGACCCTACTTTCATCACAAAATAATCATCTATTCCTGGCTTACGTGCAAGGCACAAAACAATAAAATGTGATGCCTCTAATTTGAGCCAGCCAAAGAAAAAAAAAAAAAACGCTCTAATTAGGTATTAGAGGTTTTAAAATTGTTTGGTATTACTCCATTTTTTTCTTAAGTCAATAGCAGCAACAGATGCCAGCACGGAGACATTTTCTCAAACTACATAATGGCATAGACATTCCATGTCCCAGAAAAGAATCATTCAATTCTCCTAACAAAATTAGCCAACCAAACACACTCTGACCTTTGGAAGTAAAGAGCATATGGAGGATCCCATGGCCTGCATCACATCAACAGCTGAGCAAATTGCAGCTTCCAGGGATTTGATATCAGCCTGTAAAAGAACGGAATCCAGTAATTAAGTCAATACCTCTCTTTCAAGATTCAGATACAAATACACTTCTTCAACCAAACCAACCATTGCACCCCCAGTTACTGGAAGACGGAGGGTACTTGCTTCCAAATCTTCTACAGCTCCAGATAAGGAACTGATATGATCTCTTTCAAGTAAGGCCCAGTCATTGAGGTATGGCATCTGAACCAATCACATATATAGACAGACTTAGATGGTGGAAATTCTAAGAATGAAATTAACTTTAGGCACTCAATAAATATATCTCAACTGGCATAAGAAAATTAATGAGAGGTCTTCAAAATAGATGGATACAATCAGGATATTCTCCAGAATATAAAGCTATGTGATCCTTAAGTTAAAGCACTGGGGCAATGGACATGCCACTGCATTTAACCATGTGATAAATAAAGCAAACCCATTATTTGCACAATTAATGCTTCTCAATCTAACTTCACATGTTAAAAATATACACAACTTTTAAAATAAAATTTTGGCCTGTATAAATAAGTTCATGAATCACAATGAACACCTTCCCTTTTCAGTGCTTCCAAGTTCCATGGTCTAAGACGCATATCAAGAATAACTGTAATATCAGTCAAACTAAATGCAGAAATATATCCTTAATCTTTATCAAGTGGAGTTTGCAGCTGATGAAATGATGATATCCTGGTAAGAAAGAGGCATTACTTGATCATTTAAAATTGAATTCATCTTAAGATCAAGCTTCAGCTGTTGTAAATTGATCCTCTTTTTGATTACTGAATCCCAAAGACACAGGGTAGTATTCCAAACACTTAACAGGGTTTCCTGCAACAAGAAATTAAGGTTCTCTTTGACAACATATCATGTAACACAGAAAAGGAAATTAATATTTCATCATCAATGATGAACAGCACACAATTAAGATTCTTAGATACATACTTTGCATACAACTTTGGAATTTAAAAGTTCAGAGTCAGATAGCCAGATATCTCACTTTGCAATAAATCATAGTCAATATTTGGAATTCAAAGAATATCCCATCTTATAGTTAAAAACTAATCAGAAGAAAAGCTACCTCTGCATTTACTTTCTCTATGAAAAGTACAGCTTCTGCCTGTACATTAGCAAATTGCCACTGCAAATATCTGTTATAGAGTAGTCTTAGCTGATGAGCGTCTTCTATGTAGCTTGCACCTCTTTTCCCCTTTTTAAAGTCAGCAATAAAACTGAGAACTGAATTTGAACTATTGGACCGACCAGTTGGACTAGATGGCCTTATCCGGGTTGGGCTGACTCCTCTTGGAGTGGATGGTCTTGCCCGTGATGGACTGATACCTCTAGTAACAGAGGATGTAAACGTGGAGGTCCCACTTGGTGATGCAGGGCGTGATCCATGAGAAGGTAAAGAATGAGATCTGGCTGCAGGAGTTGTTGATGTCACTCTGTCTGATGAACTCGGACAACGGATCCTGGCAAATCCAGAGGGGCGCAGAGAATAATCATCAACTGAATTTGCTTCAGACCCAACTCTACCAATTTCATCAAGTGATGGCAATCTTGCAGCATCACTAGAAGACTCCTGTAATGGTTTACCCAAAGCATCAGAGGCGGGCATTTTCCTCAGTGATAATAACCCAATTCCTGGATTTGGCGTAGATAAAGTCTTAACCATCTTTTGACACAGATCCACAGTTTTATTTAACGGATTGGAAGCTAACTTTCCACCTATTCTACTTGGCCAACGATGCTGATCTATTAATCTACTAGGCATACAATCAAAAGGTTTTGCATTCTCTGACTGATCAGGTGCATTCTTCCCTTTAAGAGGACTCTTCTTTCTCTCTGGTGTCGACTTTCTAGACAAAGTAGGAGTCTCTGGCGGCTGCTTATGAGCCACATTTGAAGAAGACCTCAAAGTCCGATCCAAGAAAACATTACTAGCAGGTTTTTCTTTTTCCTTCTTGCTAACAGGGACAGAAACCGTATCAGACTGGAATGAGACACTAAGACTTCTCATTGTGGAAGGCCATAAACTCTCCGGTAGCCTACCAGTTGATAGCCTTCTAGATGACAAATGCATGTCTGCAGATGACTCGTGGACGGGAGTGGATGGACTTCGTGGTGAAGATGGTGTTGAGGGGCGCTTCCGCTCGGCTGATAGGGCTCTCTTTGTCCCAGGTTGGGAATGTATTGTTGCTGTTCTTGAAGGGTTCGGAGATGAACAACGGCGGGAACTTGTAGGGGTTGACGGAGTTGGTGACTTGTACCTACAACTAACTTCTCTTGTCCGAGGACGGCGGGTAGCCACTGCATTGTACTTTTCGGCAGGAACCAACCGTGGTCTTGTGGTATCCAGTGGTGTAAGCTTGTGCAATCTTCGCTCTGATTCAGATACATCCATTCAATCTGTCCAATTTAGTCCACATTGATGGTTATCAAACCGAATTTGGCACTAAAGAAGATTCTTTTCTCTGCAATAAATCTGCCAACAGCGCACAAACCAAAAGTAAGATAGCACTTAATGAAAAGGAAAAGCAAAGAATAATTATAAACTTAAACCAAAAACAAAAAAAAAAAAAAAAAAAAAAAAAGAGAGAAAAGAAAAGAATAGAAAAGGAAGGGAAAAATCTGCAAAAGATTACATCTTTACGATACCCAGATCTGACCGTGCATGAATTAGAGCATTGCAACTGATTAACCAAAATCAGGTCTCGTTTTTCATCAAGAAAAGCCTAAATACAAGCAGGACAGGCCATATGAATGAGCTTAAAGGGTGATATAACAGAATTTGGGGCAATGGGGACCCCCAGAAATTTCTGAAGAGTGCCAAATCCTGGACTAACGTTCACTAGGTTAGCTTCGGACCACATCCCACAGAATTGCAATTGCAGGTTGATAGGGGTCCCCTGAGTAAATGGGGGAGAACCAGAGACAGCATTGTACTCGGATGAAGCCTGGCAAGGGGCCTAGGATAAGAGGACAGCTACAAAAGGGGTGCGTAGGATAAAGAGAGTTAGGCTCTTTAATTTGTTACGTTTAATTTTCTTTTGTCCCTCTCACGAGTCCTTCTCACGAGACTGCCATGGTCGGGCTGGCTGGAAAATGAAGTTCACTCACAACAAACACCCCCCAGGCAGCCCCACTCTGCCCTCTTCTTTCTCCTTTTTCATTCATGAAAGGGAATTCATTGAAAAAGATTTTAACTCGAACATGGGAAAAAAAAAAAAAAAATCTCTGTCCTCCTTACATACGATTAGCCTTGATTCCAAGAAACTTACCTCGGATCACAAGTTGATTAACTAAACTAAATGGCATACTAAATTATAAGTATAGTGATTAATAATTTGGAAACAATAATGTAATTGTGTTTATCCTGTGTGCAAATTTTTTCAAGGTTTTTAATTTAATAATTAAGAGACTAAACTTACAATGCTAATGCTCCTGGAGATATGCCAAACAGACATGAAGCACCACGTGCCTTCTCCATCCCATGAGTTGACGTTAAATTACGCGAAAAATACAAAACACTTTGAACAGCCATCAATCAATTTTAAGTGTACTATTGTTATTGTTTTAAGGGTCTATTTTACTATTAGTATAATTTTAACTATTAAGCAATTTTCTTTAAATAATTTATGCATTTGGAATTTGGTTTCCGGGTTTGGGAATCGAAATCCATAAGATCAGGTAAAAGTTGGGATCTTCTTTTCATGAAAAAGGAAGACAGGGCAAAAGAAGATGGTGGGAGGGCTGTGTCTTTGACAGTGAAGGAAAGAAATACAGAAATGAGAACTGTTCGTGGAAATCTTTCTACTGGAAAATTTCACAGGCTGTATTGAATCTAAGAGCTAAAAACTGCAACAAAAAACTAACTAAATCTAATTAATATAATCAAAATACTGTCTTTTTCCTGTTTTATGCTTGGATATTGATTCAGAAACCAAGATCAGAAACAACTGCTTAAATTAACTCCTTGATGAGGACGAGAGAGTTCTAAGAATTAGAAAACTAACTTTAATTAGTGTTTAATTAAATCGTAATTATGACTGAGCGAGCAAATAGAAATTCGAGGTAAGCAAACGTAAAATTTAGAAGAGAAAAAATAGAAACATGATCTCACCTTCATCGATCTCGATAATCCTCCAATAATCAGTCGCCGAAACCCTAAAAATCAGTATTCTGAATAAATTTCTTCGTTTTCAGGAAGAAAACAGAATCGGCGGCAATGGGGATGAGAGGGAGAGAGATTGATCGCCGGAAAGTGATCGGAGAATGGCGGAGGGGGAATCGATAGATTGGAAGTGGAGAGGGAGGATTAGGGAAACGCAGATTATTAATTTGATAAATAAGAAGTAGAAACGGTTTTTTGAGTTTGAAGAGGTGAAGACAGGTGCAGGAGACGTTGTTTTCGCGCCACCAACTTAGGTGGGATGCAGAAGTTTATTTTGGTCGAACATCGAAGTATTCTTATTAACGTACGCTTGCGTAGAAGAGTATGTCTTTGACTAATCACCTGTTGGTTCGGTCTTTATAAGGAGGAACCGACACTGAAAGAGTTTTATTTTATAAAATTTAATGTTATCTGATTTTATCTACTACTTGTTTAGTATCAATTTAAGAAAGTGAGGTTTTGAGTTTGAAGTTCATGAATGAAAAAAATATGTGCTATGAAAGCTTTTTTTTAATATGGTTTGATGTGATTCGATTTTAAATTAATTAAAATTTAATATGATTATTGTATATCAAAAAATTAATAAAAAAATATTTTTTGATTTAAATTAATTAAGATTTAATAAAATTATTAAATATTGAGAGATTAATATATATAGAAAAAGCATGTCTTTCTAAAATGATAGGAAAAATACATGCCATGAAGTTTCAATTTTTTGTAAATATTTTACTAATTTTTTAATATATTTTTTAAATTTAATTAATATTTGGTAAAAGAGAAAATTAAAACATTTTATTACAACTATTAAATATATGAAGCGTAATATGAACCATTGTTTTATTAAATTCATCATATGATTAATTACAACTATTAAATGTAAGATATAATATGAGCTTTAATTTTATCAAATTTATTATAGGACTATTATTAAATATTATAATATTTTTAGTGACAGTACATTTTAATTTTCTCTTTTCTTTTAACATTTTACACATTTTTTAAATAATAAAAAACAAGAAAAAACTTATTGTTGTAGGGAGTCTTACTAAATGAAGTTTTAGTATAAAGAATTTAAGACACTAAACAAAAAGAAAAGTATATACTAAAATTTTAGGAGGATTTTTTTTATAATAAAATTTAAGAGTAATGGAATACAAAATTATAAAGATTATTTTACATCAAATGTCGTATGGTGGAGCTTCCAAATTACTACCAAGAATGATTAAAACTATTACTTTTTATGACAATGTTTATGGCGCCTTAATACTTAATGTATACGTAATGGGGTGATAAGTATTATTTTAAACATTAATTTATATAAAAATACAAGATAGTTGTGTTTTTAATTGAATAATTTTAAAATTAATATAAATTTTTAATCTTTTTATATTAATAATAAAAATATGTAATAAATATACTTTTAAAATGTGCATTTAATGACATAGGATTAAAAAAAAAAAGGTCAATTCTTTATCTACAACAACATTTTCAAGTATTAATTGACTACCACATTTTCAAGTATTAATTGATTGATAATTCATTTGATCTGATATTGTATTAATACATGGTTACGTGAATATAAGTAATTCTTTCATTTTTATTGTATTTTTATACTACTATAATATTAAAAAATGAAAATTTGAACCTAAATCTTTGGATAATCCAAATAAATTTTATTAAATTTAAAGTTATATTATTTAAATTGTATCAAATTATAAAATTTGAATTATTAATTAAAAATGTTAAATAAAAAATAATCCATAATAGTTTATGATGTTTAGTTTAACACAATCTCCTAATTTTTTGATTGGCTAGTCTATAACGTAATCTCATCACTTTTCTTTTGTTGCTACTTGGTTTTTCTTTTTTTTTTTTAATCTTAGTTGCGTAATGAGAATCAAGTATCTCTCATCTCTTATTTTACTTCATCCACATATGATACGATTTGAATTCAAAATTTTTTATTTTTAACTAAAAAAAAATAATAATTATTAAATTATTTATATTGTTTGGTTTAGTGTTACTTGTTATGCATTGAATTTCACAACAAAAATTGCCACCAAACTTCCTACATTGATTGATCAGTGACAATTTTTGTTCCTATATTTATGCCACATAAGATGATTGAGACATCCCATTTGATTTGGGGCCCCTGTCGAATACTCCCATCCCATCTTTCTGGGTGTTCCTCAGCTCTTCACCTTGTTTTGTCCCATCCCATCATCTCTTTGAATCCCTCAGTCCCTCTTCCTCTCTTTCTTCTAGGAGAAGAGAAAAAGACCAAAAGCAATCACTGCTAAAAAAACGGCATCCAAAAGTACTTATGTCTCATCTCTGCTAAAAAATCTGAGATAAACCATAAAATGAAAAATGCAAATTTTTCTTCCTTCATATATTCCTTTTTATGAATAATATACTCATATATAAGACTTTATGAAATGATGCACACTCATGTGCTACAAGCATGGTCAAGAGTATGAACACAGCCCCCTTTCTGTTTCTTGCTGCTTCTTCCTGAAACATGTCCTTTTCTTTTCTTTTAATTAAAAAATATTTTACAATACAAATTATAAAAATAATACACTCTTTTTTATTTAAGTTTATTTAATAATAATAATTATTATTTTTTTTAAAAAAAAGAAAAAAATCTTATTCAAAAAATGCCTTACTGTCTCTAGTGTTCGTATTATTTTCTGTATTTTACTTAATTACGATAGAAAAGTGCATTATCATTTCATTTATTCACTTTATTATTTACGTTTTATTTAATAATTATAGTTAATTTGATTTGGTTAGAAAATAGTGTATTTTGATCCCCATCGACTCCATATTTGTTTGGTTTCGTTTGATTACATTACATAGGATGATACCTCTTTGCAGGGAGATATGAGATTATTATTATTTTTTTTTAAAAATTTTCACTCTTGTATTTGATGATGACCAAAAAAGAACTAAATAAACTTGGGGGACCAAAAGTGGTCTTCAAACAAAAGTTTAAGGATGTCAGCACTACTTTAACCCAAAAAAGAAATATTTGGCCCCCCAAAAAAAAAAACACACTCACACACTTACTATAAAATCGCGTTCCTGCTCCTACCAAATCAAACAGGACCAAATCGTAAGCTGGCGACCTCGATGTCTAAGTTGCTATAGAACTTTGATGGTGTCCTCCGGAGAGAAGACGATATTCTCCGTGTCACCCACGATGAGATCGTGCATCCGTACTTCGCCTAATCTGTATCCTAATCCAGTTTCTGTTCAATGTTTCATCCTTAATTCTTTCTTCTTTTTTTTTTAAATTAATTAGTTAATCCTTTTCAAATGATTTTGCAGGTTCTGATGTTTCCTCTTGCAGGATTTCCAAATTTGAACCCTAAATTCAGTGTGAAAAGTTGCTATGTAATTCAGATCTGATCAAGTTTATTCTTACCTTCAATTTCATATCTATTTTTATTAATATGAAAGATGGTTATCGAATTCTAGAATTAAGATTAATTGGCTGATTTAGACTTAACATAGATTGGGTTACAAATTGATTGTTCTTTTTTTGGCTGATTGGAAATCTTGATTTCCTATTTTTCCATGCAAATGTTAAATGTGAAGTTTTTTCAATGACTTGATATGTTCTGTACCTGCGTGCATTTTTGCATACACCTTAATTGATCTGGATATGATACTGGGTATATATAAAACTATCTGCATGTAAATTAGGCTGGAAATTTATGTTTTTTGTGTAGATGCATGTACATTTGGCTGTAAATTTATATATGTGTGTAGAATCACGCGCCACGCGTGTAGAGTGGGAGGGATCTTATTTAATTTGTTAACCAAGATTCGTACCGAGATTCACGGATGTTCTTTTGTGTTATAGTGATCCAAGACAGTCAATTTTGTAAGCATAAGGTTGCCAATTATTTCTTTTAGCTGAAAAGTTTTGTTTGTGGTGATAGAAACAAAGTAGCTTGAAATCTTGTGGATTGTCCTTCTATCTATGGCCTAAGAATTAGATTGGATTCAGTTTGGAAGTTTTGAAAGGAGATCGTTGCTAAATATGAAGTAGACTTGTGAAATTTTTTATTGTTATGTTTCCCATAGTTAAATTGTTCCATCAATGTTATGAAAGTGGTACTTAGAGTGGTTTTGGTTCAATAGAAAACTAACTTACGGACATCTTAACATTTTTCAAGGTTATTAAGTAGCTAGGCCTTGGCAAGGACTTACGAGTAAGAGATACATCACTATCTTGGATGAAGCTAGCTAGGCTTGATTATAACTTTTTGAAACAACATATTGAGTTTGTTCTAGTCTGACAACATTAAACCTTTTTTTTTTTTGTGGTTGATAATGGTAAAGCATTTATACTTTATTATTATAAATAAACCCATGTAGAGGATATATCACTTGTGAAGTAATATGCTGAAAATTGCTTGCTTTTGTGCTGATGCATTGGTATATATTTTAAAGCTTGGCCTTTTCAATTTTGTGTTTGGCCTAGATGGGCTCATTAGATGTGTCACCAATTTGGACCTGGTTTCAAACTACTCAAATGTAGCTGTGTCTACAAACGTTACCATTCAGATCCTTTGGGCACAAGAGTGATTTTGCTCCCTGAAAGGAGAACTGTTTTTCCCATTAGAATGAATTAGAGGAATATGTTTCTACCATTTGTATTTATGTGTGAAGTTAATGCGTTGTCAAAATGGGAAAACATCTATTCTATATGAAATTTTTTATTTTGAGTAAATACACCTAACAAAGAATAAAAAATAAATGTTCATTCAAGGTGCCATGGCTAAATGACTTTTAAGAATCAGCATCTGATAAATATTTATCCATGTTTTATTCAACAATGAAGTAGGTCTTATGAGGAAATCTAAGCTCATGAATGATCTATATTTGACTGAATAAAATGGGCTTGTATTTTAGGGTAGCTTGTGTAAGGTTCATTGGTCCATCCTAACATGTAAATTAATAATAATGAACAATGATGCTTTTATATGATTACCTAATTTGTTTGGTAAATTGAACCTCCCTACTCAAACTGAGAAATTGAATATGAATATGGATATATTTTGAACTTTCAAGATTAGGTGGTACTCTTCTGCTATGTTATAAATAATGAAGATGTATATTTTGTATTGACAATCATATGAATCATAATTTGGACTGCCTCTGAAATTTCAGAAATTCTATCTCAGGTTTTGTTAATGAATAACGGATATGCTTCTTGGGGCCTTGTAACTTGAGGTGAGTTCTTGTTTTCTTACCTGTGTTAATTCTTGTGCATAACATCTATCTGTAGTTCAACTGACTTCATTTGCATTTTACATCTATTGTACATTTTAATCTCTTAATCAGCAGGTAGGCTCATTTTGATCTGTCATAACTAGAGCACTTGATTCAGGCCGTGGGAATGCTGAACCTAATCTTCTCTCAACTAGCATGCTGCTGCTTTTCCAGCTAATGAATCAAGGAAGGATTCCTTTCCAAAATTGCATGGCTGCTAATTCAAAAATTCAATATAAGTATCGGCATCTTAATAAAACTTCAACAAGTTTAGAATCAATGAATCTATATATTTTTATAGATCTAATAATTAAATAAATAAATATATATATGTATCTTACCTCAGTACTTTTTAGGAACTGGGTAAAAGTATTTGCAACCTTGTAATTGCAAGGGAAAAATGGTGCCTGTTTTCTTATTTGTGTTAATGCTTGTGAATAATATCTACCTGTAGTTCAACTGACAGCATTTTCATGTTACAGCTATTGGACATTTCAATCTCTTAATTAGCAGGTAGGCTTATTATGATCAGTCATGACTAGGCATCTCATGTGCTTGTCAAAACATGGATTATTGCTGAAATCTCATTTGATTTTGTGGCATGCATGTCTCATTCATTTTCTCTGAATAGAATTTACTGATTAAGTTTCTGTTAGAAACTTGCTTTAGAATCTTCTAAACAGTAATGAGGTAAGAAGACTGAAAAATATATATATATATATATATATATTTGGGTCTATAGTATTATTTTGCTAAATTAATTCCAACTCTGTTGAAGTTTTATTAAGATGCTTGTGTGTATATGGTATTTTTGAAACAGCTTCTTAATCCGGCAATGTAATGGAGGATACAAGGAATCCTTCCTTGGATCATCAACTGGGCTAGCAGATCCCAAAAGATTTGGTTTTACAACTGCAAGAGCTGAATGAACCACTTATTTTGACTGCAATTTGTGGTCTGATTTATCCCATGGTTAATAATTATCAATTAAAGCCTCTTGCAGAATCCAATCCATTTGGAAGAAAGAACACAACATGTCTCATACACCAGAGCTGTACATCAGGTTTTGGGCTGTCCTCACCATTTTATTGCTGGATGGGATTATCATTTGGAAGCTAATTCAAACAAGTTGTACATTTCCAGGTGTCAGCATGTAGATTTGTTTTTATATTGGTTGTTTAGCTAATCAAATGACATGTCACCTGCACTGCTTTGCAGAATAGGAGTGATATGATGAAATCCTACTTGAGCTTTTCAGTGGCACTGCAACAGGTATGTCTCCTTTGTCTGAAAGAGTATGCCATATTATATTTTCATCTTCAGTGACCAAAATTTTCATAATTACAGCTTTAGAAATGAGCTCCAATGCCAGTGTTCCTCATGAAAGCTGATAATGGAAGAGGAGGAGTTTCGGAGCAGCAACCTGTCATGTGTAACCCATCTACAAGGTAATACCTAAAAATCTTGTAGGATTTACCAATATGTTGGCCTACCAAGAAGTCTCCAAAAGGAGATTGGTTCTTGGGCATTCTCATGCATCAACTAGGTGTGAGGGGTACATGTGGTCTAGTAATTGCTTAAATGCTATGGATTTGTGGATGATTTACTTAATTTCCATAGAGTGATGATTTTCAATGCATGGCAAAAGAAAATCTTCACAACAGATTTGGAGAAACATGAGTGTGCTATGTTAGTAGGGCCACACAACTTTCTGCTTCTTCAACACAAAAAGTTATTCTGGGTTTGACCACCTTGGAACAAAAAAGCTAGACCCCAAAAGCTTTTGCCAGGAAGCAGCAAAAGGTGTCGGGGAGATAAACTCAAGGGTTTATGAAACCATGTAAATGTTTTAGGCATGATAAGTTGATAACTGACCAACTAGAGCATAATATCCTGGAAAATTACCATGTTAAGATTTTCAAATCTCATGCAACCGTATACTTAAAAATGCGAAAATAAATTCAAAAACTAGGAAAATAAAAGCATCATACCAGTCAATTAGGAATGTTGTTCTCATGATAGAGTTATCAAGTTCAAAATCTAGAAACTTGTTCAAATAGAAATAATTTAGAAGGTTTTATGAAGGAGTTCAAAAGGAATATGTTTCAATTCAAGCGAGGAGTTCTCCACAACAATGTTCTGATCCTACCTTGAAGCATTCTGATGTCTCTTTAGCTGTAGGGCATTCTTAATAGATTTTCAGTGACATTGACGACCCTCCTGATGCTCTAGGGTTACCATAGTATGTTAAAGCCCATGGATCTTTAGCTTTAGAATTTGTCAAGTTCTCATCTTTGTTCGCTGGAATGCTGCGTTGGTGAAGTCGATATTTCTGAAATCATAGATAGGTTTGAGCTTCATTTTCATACTTCAAAATGGTAAGAAGTTAACAGAATACAATGCAGAAAATTAGTGGTTCATGTTTTGCCCAGGAAAACAAAAATCGAGATAGAGCAATGTGTGAGCACAGTTCTTTACATCTTTGTGATTTCAGATAAACTCTTCATTCATTAAGAATAAAGAGCTTCCCTAAACTACATTTAGTGGAGCAAAGCCCAACTTCATTCTATATCGGTTGCAAGTAGGTAAGTTCATACTAAGAAATGATATAACAAAGGAGCAAATAAGTTCATCTGGAAGAAAATATATGAAATGGTAAGCATAAACAATATGAAACTCCATAACATTAGGACAATACCAAAATTTCTGTGAACTGGTTTGTAACTAGCAAGGTTGATAAGATAGAAGAGAAATTTCTACGGAAAGGGATAGATGTTACTTGAGGGCAAGGGGAAATCTAAAATGAGAGTCAAAGTTATAGTTCTCCTAAACATAAGCTGTTAGCCTATTGCCATATTATGGTGAGGTTGGGAATTAGAAGCATTGCAAGAAGTAAGTTGCCTGTCTAGGAAAAGCTACAAAAACAATTTGGAAGCATGAGCAAGAATATGGAGGTCCACTGCCCTTGAAAGTAGGACCAAGACTAAGGAGAGATTTTAAAAGGATGCCTAAGTCAATGCTCTCTTAACTACAATTTCCTAAGTTTAGAATTTCTTGTCATGCTGATGCAAGCAACAATCCCTTAGTCTTTACTTTCTGACATGAGAGTAAGATTAAAACTAGTGTGATTCTTAGGGAGTCAAGGGCATATATCAAACAAGGATCCACAATATCAACACTATTCATCTTAGAACCACATGCATATACCTATCGTTTCAAATTTTATTTCAATCAGCACCTTGTTGGTTAAGATTTGATTCTTTGGGAGGTTATGATGAACTAATTCCTCTTAAATTCCTAATTCTGACGTGGATGGTCTCTCTCTGTAATTCTAATGTCTAAAGATGGACTAGGATACTACCTAACTTCTTTACCCTAGGATAAGACATATAACTTTTCACAGTATGGTATGAATTTAACTCAATTCAAAGTTTTCAACATGCAAAGAAGGAATATGATGACAACTAAGTAAACAGTCATTTATTTTCATATAATGTTAATCATGTTGTATATCTCCACAACCATCATCTCAACAATCCATATGGCACTAATAAATTCTTAAAATATACACCAAGAGCAATATATTAATTAAGATTTGTAGTCAACCTGCAAGTGGCTTTTGACTTGGTCATTTGTTAGTCCTTTGACCTGCATTTTTTCCAGTATCCTTTTTGGAGTCGCAGCTGTCCAACAATAAACCAAAGAAAACCAAGAGAAGTAAATATCAATTATAAAGGAAGATAGTTAAGAAAAAAAAAAAACCCCACAACGATATTGACATACAAAATATTAGAAGATATTTCCACCTTTTAACACTTTTAATCAGAAGTAAGTTCTCACCATCAATACCTCCAGCCTGATGCAATGCCCTCAAGAACCTAGTATGATTCTCCTCTGTCCAAGACATCCTCTTCTTCTTTGATATAGACTGCGTAAGTGGCTTTAGCTGATGATTATTGATAATTGGATTATGAGCCCTCAAATTGTGGTTGCCTATACCACTTGATTCAGGCCTTGGAAATGTAGAACCCGATCCTTTCTCAACTAGCCTACCATTGCTTTTTTCAGTGGAAGAATCAAGGGGGCATCCCTTTCTAAAATTGCACGGCTGCTAATTCAAAAATTCAATATACATAGAAGCATCTTAATAGAACTTCAACAAACTTTGAATGAATGAAGCTATATTTTTTTATAGATCTAAGAATTGAAAAAGATTTAAATATCTACCTCAGTACTGTTCAGGAGCTGGGTAAAAGTACTCGGAACCTTGTAATTGTGAGAAAAGAATGGTTCCTTCTGGACTCCATTATTGCAGGGCTAAGAGTTGAAAGATTTATGCAAACAGTTTAATAACAAATTCAAAAATTGGCCTAAAAATTTTGAAAAGTTTTGATTTTAATCTTAGGCAAAACGTTTTGCCAGTCTGGTCAGTCCAGACTAGCAAAACTGGCCCCTCTTCTCTTATGGATTTACCTCAATTGTATCTAAGATATTTCCATATTCTTTCCCTTTGGACAGAAACTCCATCATGGGCTGTCCTCCAGATTCCATATTCTTCCTTATTTTCATAGATTCTTCTGATAAGGTCTTGATGGCTGAATGCATACCATAAAGAAATGATAATTCCATTTCTATCAAAAGGGGAGGGGGAATCACCAAAAAAAGAAAACCAACTAGAATTGAACTCACCATCCACTAGAAACAATCCACATAGCGGAATCTGATGTTTGAAGGACTGAATGAAGTTTAGTTCTTCTTCATGCTGGTGAATATAATCATTTAACACCATCAACTTATCCGTCGGATTTTTTACTTCTTCCAAATCCGTTAGAACATTTTGAATGGGTTTCAATAGGTATGATGGTTTAAGACTCAAGGTGAGTTCAAGAAAAGATGATGGAGAAGCCATAGTTCTCTCTCTTTTTTGAGAGTGCAGTGAGGACAAAGGAGCAGGGGCTGTTTGGGAGTTATATAAGGAGGCTGAAGAAAGCAGAAAAATAGAAAACAAGAATCCAAATCATAAATTTGTTTTCCAACCACAGATTCTCATTCAATTATTGTTTTTTTTTCTGGAAGGCGAAAGGGGAGAAGTGAAAATGGGATATGTATCTTGAGTTAGTGCATATCTGATATTCATATTGAGAAAGATAGGTTCTTTAATTTATTGCAAGCTCAGTTTTTGGCATGTAAGGTTATTTTTTACTTAGATACCATATTTTGCTCTTTAAGTAACCGTTACGGCATTATCCTTTTAAGTGTTGGGATATTCTCTGATGAGGTATTGAAACGTTGAAGTTTTGAGTTTGAGTCTTATGCAGGTTAAAGAAGTTTTGAGTCTTTTTACAGGTTAATTTTGTAATGTGGACTTGTTAAAAGAAAATATGTTACTAGTTCCTATTTGATGACCTGAATATCTTTGCACATACAAGAGAATAGAAGGAAAGTTGAATTGATGTATGTAAGAAGAGTTTGCTAGGATACAACTGACTGTTAAAACCAAAATTTTAAAAAATAAAATAAAATATTTTTAAAATTACAATGAAAGAAATAGCATGTTCACTATTTTAGGTTAAGTGGATATGGAAATTAATTTCACACAGCTGGCCTGCCTTATAAAGGTTCAATTTTAAAGTATACCACTAATTGGAAAGCCCATTGTTTTCTTCTTTTTAGTCTATTGATAAATTTATATACAATAGAGTATAGTTTTCCGTTCTCACACATCTCTTTTTTATCTCAAAATTAAAAACTGTGATATTTAATTTGGAGTTTCAAGTTTTTACTAGTTGAGACATTTTGAAGAGTTTTTCTTCTTATTTTTCATTAGTTCCCTTTCTTTCTCCTTAAAAATGAAGGTTAATAGATTTCAAAAATGTGACAATTAGTGAGTATCCAGAAATTAATTGCACATGTGTTAGCAGATTTTATTAACATTTCATTTCACCTTTCACATAAAATCATGTTCCACTTCGGATCTCCCTCAATCTCTATACTACTTTGCAATAAGTTTTAGGTGTGGTTATGACCTCTAACTCATTTCCTAAAACTACCAAAATTGAATTTCATTTGACTGATATTGTAGTTTTTTTTTAACAGATGGTTATAATGTTTAAAAATATTAATTTATAAATTAATTTTAATTTATTAAATAATAAATATTAAATATTTTATCAATTATTAGTTATTTTTAATAATTAAATCAAATAGAATTAATATTCTTTTAACATAATTTTTGTAGCCTTAATAAAAGAATTGGTGGCTATGGTATAGCCACCCCTGTTCCCATAAGTTTCTGGCTTTCTGCTCTTGTTTATTTTTTTCCTTTTTCCTTTCTTTTAAATTATCACCAAAAGGAGAATTTATTACATTTTCCCCCTTTTTCTTTCCCTCACATGATAAAGTTGATAAGAGGAAGTAACAAAGGAATTTGTTCTTTCTCAGGAATATTCAGCCACGTTGAGCATCCTTTCATGGCAACAAACTAACTGCTCCTGTGTCGTTTTGTCTCTACCCAGTGGAAGACCAGATTTCTCTTTGAACTGCTGTTCACTTTGCAAGTTTCTGTGCTAAAATGGAGAGTAAATTTAGAGGGCTTTAATGGAGATATTCTTGTAATTAACGAATGCTCTTTTTCTATAGGTATAAATTTCATTACAATTTTAGTAACCATACATCATCGATTAGCCAATCAACATCCACTAATGAACGCCTTATTTGTTCATTTCCCTAAAATAGTTACCAAGTAAATTTTAAATGAAACAATTGTTATCTTGTAAATTTTATATAAATGATAATTTAAATAATTTCTTAATTGTTAGAAATTACTTAATAAAAATTATATATAAAAAAATTAAATTTTCAATTAAATGATCCCAAAATTTTACATAAATAGATGGGTAAAAAATTACCTTTTCTAATTACAAATTTATTTAATTTAACTCATTTGACATGTAAATTTATAACCCATGACTACCCAACCCTAATGGATCCACTCATTGGCCATGTCTAACTCATTGCAGTGTCTATTTACCTTCACCGGCAACATGTGACGTTTTCTTTGTCTAATAACGAAGGAATTATATAGTCAAAATGTTAAGGGACTCATTTGCTACCCAAAGAAACACTAGGGCGCTACATAAAAATATTAGAGTTTATATGGCTTCGGAAAAACAAATGGACGAAATTATATTTGTTATTACCCGCAGCCACTTCTTGTTTTCACCTTGAATTTGTGGGCAAGATTAAATTAGCCTTTGAAGAATATAGTTCTATCTCTAGTCTTGTTTTTGTTTATTAAAGAAGAGAAAAGTTGAAACTAACCCCGTGACTCCATAGAAGACATGAATGCTAAATATTGCAAATGCTATATATTGCATGCATTTTGTTTGCAATTTGTGGTACTGGAGAGCATATGTATGTTTTTCACTAGAGTCTAAGAACGTTTTCTTTCCTGCTTCCAAATGACAATGAGTTTGAGGATGTCCACAATGTTCGGCTAAATGATTTCTACCAATCTCAGGAAGGGGACGCAGCAATTGGTGATGTTCAAGCCTCACTTCTCAGAAAAGGTAAACTGATCTATAGTCATGGAGTCTCAGCAGTCCCAGGATGGGGCAACATTCTGCCATTATAAATTTATACTGGCTAGAGACAACAAATGCTAACTGAGATGTTTCCAGGAATCATTGCTCCAAATCCTGTGCTATTGCTCATGAATTTATAAAGAAGCAAGAAGGAAAAGAAACTGGATCCAAACGTGAAATTCACCATGCCACTGCCCATGAAGTCCTGGATCTGTCCATTTATTTACCTCACCAGCTGCATATTATCAAATCACACTATTTAATCATTTCATCAAGTCAAATTATAAATGAATATCATGTTTTGCAGTCTGAATTATATTAAATTATAAAAAAAATTGTTAAATAAAACATAATTTCTAATTTCATTTAATAATAAATGTTATACAATTCAGTATAATTTAAACTACACAATAATTTTTTTAATATAAAATTACAAAATATAAAACTAATCAATTCTTTTGTGAGTAAATCATAATTTGACGTTAAGTTGGATAATAATCGTACGAGGCAGGACTTTTTATGAAAAAAATGCTTAGGATTCAAAGTTTGTGCTTTACCATCGAGTTAGGTCTCCTTGCTATGATTTCTATTTAAAGATCATCATGAATATTGCTCTTATTACAACGCCTTTTTTTTTTTTTTTCCTTTTTGTCCTCTTGACACGCCCACGAGCACAATGAGTGGGGCAAATCCCAGTGAGTTGGTCGGTCAGGCTGCATAGCTGGCCTGGACCTCTTACTAGCCGTTACATAGAGAATGTTTTTTTAACAGCTTTTCAAATATTTAGATGGGTACTCTTGAACAAACTTTGCGGGAAAAGAAGGTAACATGGTCCCACTAAAGCAATCATTCTCTTACCATCTTTACCCTTCTTACTCATTTCTTAGTATTTTATTTAGAAAAATAAATACGGGTATTTTTTTTTATTTTAATTTCAGAGAGACAAATATCTATTATTTTTTATCTAATTTTATCTGTAATATCATGTGATTTGAATTTAAAATCTTTACAAAAAAAAAATAACTATTGAAGTATTTAGGTCGTGTACAATGAAAAATAATTTTTTTATTTATTTGAAATTATTCATATTAAATATATATATTTATTTAATAATATATAAAAAATTATATAAAACAATAATACAAAAAATTGTCCTTATACAACCGTTCTTTTATTTACAGCAGAGTTTGCGTTCCTAATTTTAACCCAAATCAAAGTTTTTTAGCAGTAAATATCAACTACCCAACAATAGCTTCGCGTTTATGTAAAGATTAGAGATTCAAATTTATGTAACACTAAGCGGAGAATAAATATCAACTAAACCAAACTTTGGTTGATTGTTCTTACTTTCTTCAGGAGCGGCACTGATCCCCCCGGCACCTCCATCAAATCCAACACTGAGATTTTTTATTTTTTTGTTTTCACTTCACATTCTTCTCTTCTCTTCGATCTGGCAAATTCCAGTTCGGTTCTCAGTCAATTTTGCTTCAACCGCGTCCCGCTCAGAAGATCCGACTTGTTTTTTCCAGCAAACTACTGCAAATTCTTCTTCAGGTGTTTCCTCAATTTTGGAAAATTTTCTCTAAATTTTTTTCTTCAGCGGTTTTCAATTTTCCTTTGTTTAGTGTTGGAAATTGGAAAATCCACTGATGAAATCATATTTAATTGTTGCATATAATAGTATTGCCTTGGAAGATGCTTATTCTATTTTTTTTTTTTAATTTAAATTTATGAATTATGATTATTGAGAAAGGAGATTTTGAAATTTGATTCTGTTAGTTTCAGGAGGAGGAGTGACTCTGAATTTGTGATAGAGTAGTTAGGAAAATCTGTAATGGCTGATTCTGGTGGAAATTCTGAAACTGATATTGCTGTTTTAAAAGAAGCCCTTTGCACTCAGCAGCATCTTTTACAAAAGCTAAATGTGGAGTTAGATGTGGAAAGGGAAGCTGCGGCCACGGCAGCTAGTGAAGCTCTGTCCATGATCCTTCGTTTGCAGGGAGAAAAGGCTGCAGTGAAGATGGAGGCCATTCAGTATAAGAGGCTGGCAGAGGAGAAGATAAGTCATGCGGAGGAGACTATTGCGCTTTTTGAAGAACTTATATATACGAAAGAGATGGAAATTTCTTCCCTTGAGTATCAAGTTGAGGCTTATAGGTACATGCTTTTAAGCATGGGGTGTAGTGATTTGGGAATGGGTGTTAATGGCAATGTGAGAAGACTCAAGAGTCTGCCTGTACTTTCCAAAGATGTCAAGTTCAAGAGTTTTGAGAGTGAAAGGTCTGCAGTTCCTGAGATGGATTTGGCCTTGATTCATGGTATAGTGGACGACAAATTGGAGCACTTGGTCAATGTGCAAAGCTTGGAGGTGAAGAGGAGTTCAGGTAACTTGGCAGGAAGTGACTTTAATTACTACTGGGAACAGATAAGAAACTTGGATGAATGGGCGAATGAGATAACTGATGGTAAAGGTTTTGTTGGAAAAGATAAATATATCAATCCAAAGGTTGAGTCCAGGTCATTTTCATTGATTTCACAAAAAAGTATCAGTTCATCTCTAGATCCTGCAAGATCTCCTTTAATACTGGATGAAATGAAATGCTTGGATGATTCAAAGGAGAGAGAGGTACTCTTTGCCAGCTCTTCTTGTTCCTCTAGTGTCCAAGATATATTTGAAGTTCCAGAAATCAATGACCATCGAAAAACTTTGGCAAATTCACGAAAGGGTCGGAGTAAGTTGATTTTGGAAGAGAATAAAAATGGACTTGGGAAGATAGATTTGATTGCAGAGGAAACCTTTGAATCAACTACAAAAGATGAAATTGAATGGGAGAAGAAAATGTTGCCAAGTCCAAGCCCTGAGGAAAGAACATCTAAGCCAACTGCTGGAATGAATTTTGACTGCAAGTTGTCTCTTGGACAGCCAAATATTGGCATAGCTCAGTGTAAAGATGAGATACAACAGCTCAGCAAGCGACTTGAGCTGCTTGAGGGTGAGAGAAATAACACTAGGCAGGAAATTAGAGTTGCAGGGGAAGAGGAAGAGGAAATAAATTTGTTGAAGCAGATTCAACAACAGCTTAATTCAATACAGTCTGAGATAAGTTGCATAACTAAGAAACCCCCACCTCCTGATGATGGTCCCCTACTTTCTGTTATGGAGGTACATTTTCTCTTTCTTCTTTTTTTTTTTCCCATTTCATAAATTTGTCCTATCTTTTTCACTCTCTAGCACATGGTTCCATAACAATTTAATTTCTAACATTGCCTCTATCTATACCTTGATACGCAACTGATTTATGTGGACAGGGAATGCTATACTTTTGGTTTTAATCAAGCAATTCATTTGGTTCTGACTCAGACAAGCTCCAGACAGATAAATTACAGCATCATCACTTTGAAAGTGTTCTGCAAATGTATGTGAAACAGTATCATTTGTTTTCCTTGGGGATATTCTACGTGTATAGAATGAGAAAATAATTGCACAGTACAATGCACATAGGAAAAGAGTTTCTGCTTTTATTCTTTGCTCTCTTCTTTTTTTTTCTTTTTTTTTTTCCATTTTTGGTTGTGGGTGTGTTGTGGGGAGGGGCTGACCCAGGAAAAGAGTATGTGTTACTGGTTTTTTGAAGCATTCATCCATGTATGTTTACTCCTCCTGAAATTGAGGTTGTCTTGTAATTGCCAGTGTTCCATGCTAATCTGACTGCACTTAGCAGTTCTTTTCCTTAGTCTTCATGTTAGCATAAATTATTCAATGTTATGTTTTGATGCTACTAACACTAGGCTTCCCATTTATTGTCACAATGTAGAGAATAGTGTAGAGAAATCTAGTTAACGCCTTGGCTTGTATCAACACCAATAAAAATCTTAATGCTTTTCCCAAATTTATCTAATCATCCAACCTTGCTCCTGATTCCGTTTATGCTTTTGCAATAATGAATTCTAACTTCTCATCTCTCTGTCATGTTTTCTACCATCTCATTCTTTTAATGTTCACAACCTGAGGAGACCCTTAAATTTTATCCAAATTTGAGTCATCAATTAGAAGTCCATTTCAAAGACTTTTAATAGAGTTTGTGATGCACCTACGCTTGATTTTCCTGTGAGCATGTTCCTATATATATATATATATATATATATATTCTTTGTTGTTCAGAAATATATATATTCTTTGTTGTTCTTCTGAAGAGAGTTAGGCCTGAGGTTTAACACTGTATACTGTAGTTTTGCAGATTTTATAACCTAGTTGGTTCAACCTGACAGTTATTTTTAAAAAAATTGTCATGCTAGACAATTTGAAGAGCTTATACAGGCTTAAGTGTAACAATTTGAGGCCTTTAGGGTGAAATTTTTGTTATGTATAAGGATTCCTTATATGATTAGCAGAGTCTCCCCCTTCCTCCTCTGTAAAGACACTTCTGGGCTCTCTGTGAAACATTTATTTGGATTATGGAGGTAAGTATACATAACTACAGTACATATATTAGCACATGAACCCGAAAAGAAAATGATATCTTCAGTGGGAAGTGCTGACAGACATCTCTTGCCAGCAGGCATCTATTTCAGGTATCACTTTAATCCAATGAAGGCCCTTAGTGTGTTTTCTTTGGATCTTGCAGCTGAAGAAGCTAGATGTTTTAGCATGGTTACGTAATCTTCATTCTCATTGTGATTAAAAAGCAAACATACACCTGGAGAGCACCATTCATTCTAGAACTAGTAGAAGATGTACAAATGAAATTTTTAAGTGCCTAAAACTTATCTTCGCACTTTTAGAAAGATTTATGATAGTGAAACATACCAGCCAACATTGTCCAGAGTTATCATGAATCTTGCAACTCATGGATTCATTTCTTTACCAGTTGGGTGAACTGTCTAGCAGTGAATTAGAAAATTATCCTTCAAACGTGACACACAGGTCCATGATTGGAGGATCGAGCCATCATTAGAAGTATATATATTCTTGTAGCCTATGTTTTTCTAATTAATTTTATAATTCAAATTCATTGAAACTGTTCCTCAAATTATGAAACCTAATAAAAGGTCTTATTTTCACTCTGCTGAACTATTTCCATGCTGAGATTGGCATGAAATGAACAGGAGGCTGCTAAAACTAGGAGTTACCCATGTTTCTATTGATTTTTTCCTTTATCATGTTGTGGCTTTGTGATTTTCTTTCTCAAAATTCTATCTCTTCACAACCAAGATTACATATGGGAGAGAGACATCAACCAAGATTTGGGAAATCAATTATGTTAGTTCTTTTGCAAATATACTCTCATGCGTTTTACATGTTCATCATCCATTAAAAGAGACATCAGTTTAAGAAATGTTGTTTGTGGAGGTCATTGTCATGGGACATCAGTAACCACCCACCTCAGAACTTTTATGCACTGATGTAATTTATTTCTTTTAAACTAGTGGATTTGGCACCGTCAGATTTTATTATTATTATTATTTAAATCTTAAAAGGTCAAAATATTTAGCCAGTGGCATTTAATCTGTATTCATTAAAAAAAGAAAAAAAAAAAAGTAACTGGGAATGATACCTCTTTACAGATTGCTAGTTTATTTTGCTGTAGAGTTGAGAAAGAAATCCAAATTGCTGCTGACAACTTTACACCGTAATCTTACCTTGTTAGGATTCAAGCTGATTCATTTTTGTTATTTTCCTCCAAATCTATCATGCAGTTCAGGTTCTCTATAAAAATCACAAATTGCTGTTGCTGTACAGATTTTGTAACCAGAGTCTAATATTTTTGTATTCAACTCAAGATATTTTACACATTGCTGTATGAAGTTCATATTATCAGTGTTATTTGAATTCCCACTTTTCCAACCACATCTGAAAGTACTTTGCAGGTATTGATCTTTACCAACTTCTGCTGATGACAACTGAACCTACACTTCTAGTCCTGCAATGAGTGAAGAGGAGGCTGTGTTTCTTGGTTCTGGTGGAAAGACTACACTGTATGCAAACAAAAGTGGTGGGAGTAAATATCAATTTGATATTCATGGCTACTCAACCCAGATACTCAAATGATCAAATCTCTAAGGTCCAAAAGACGGTATTGGTGGAATGTGCTCCTCCAGCCAAAGCAAGCACATAACATAGCTAATATAAGATAATAGGGTAAACGATATAAAAAACACACCAACTTGACATTACTTTTCGAGTTTTTGCTTCCTATCCATGGCCAACGACAATTTGACCTACTGCAACAAGCAGTGATTTCTTGACTTTCTCTTGATGCTAGTGTGAGAAATAGATTGTTTAAAATGAAACTTTGTTGCTATATTTAAGTGGAAATAAAATAGTGTTAATATCCATTTGTAGCTGCTTATTTTAGGCAAATTCTGTATCAGTGTGGTAGGCCAAAGAGAGACTTTAGTGCAACTTTGAGCTTTTTGGAAATTTCTTCCTCATTGCTTGCCACAGAAACATTCAGAGAGAAAACATTTAGATTAATGTAATTCGATGTGGTATGATTCATAGTGCACCATCCCAGATAACAAATCTCAACTGTCCATTAGTCTAAAATATCAATTCAGAGCAAAAGTTACTTTTATTTGGATGAATGAGTGCTTGTTGGGTGGTGAAAAGCAAATGTCCTTTTATGTTCAGGTAACCTTGCAGGACAACTTTTGCCCAAGAATGTGCGACAAAGCGTGATCTTAGAGTGAAATGATTTGACAACAGTGAAAGGAAAAATTATTGACATGTATTTTATTGAGTTTAAAGTGAATTGCTGATTACAGTTTCACCAAGAAAAAAAGAGGGGAAATGGTAATCAAACAAATGAATACAATGATCAACTTTTATTGAAAATTTGGAAACTAAAAGGCCGTTTCCATCTCTTTTCCATGATCAGAAAGCAGCAGCCTTTGGAGGAGCTTCTTCAATCAGCATGGAGGAAGGAGTAGAGAGATACTGCTTCAGTCCGCCCATTTCATTTGCTACGTCTATCATGGTTGGTCTTGTTGCAGGGTTGTATTGTGTGCAAATAAGGCCAAGTTCAATTAACTCCAGGATAACGTCTCTCCAGATTTGGTCATAACAAGCAGGCATCCCTGTGGGGCAGCACCTGGTCAATGCTTGTTCTACAATGGGTTCAAGCCGGTATGGATAGTGACTTTTCACCCATTCATGCAAGCTTGCACATTCATCGAAGAGAACGTCAGTTGGGCGCCTTCCTGTGACAATTTCCAGCAGAAGGACCCCAAAACTGTATACATCACCCTGAGTTGAAGCACGTTTGCCTAATCCATACTCTGTATTTCATCAATCAAAGAGATGACATAAATGGGCTAATGAACAGAATTTAAACCATTAATATTCTTAAATGATTTTTGCTCCTAAAATTAGGAAAATAGATCTTAAACATGATTCTTATGGGAAAAATAATAGCTTAAGGATTGAAACAGGAAAGGAATAGAGCGGAAGAGAAACATACCAGGAGCTATGTAGCCAACAGATCCACATAACAAGCCATCCGTTGAGCTAAAGGACATTGAATCATCTGGAGATATACTCTCATCAATGCCTTTAACCAACTTTGCAATCCCAAAATCTGTTACCAGAGCAGTCATGTCATCATCAAGAAGAATATTGCTGGGTTTAAGGTCACAGTGCACAACTTTAACTAGCGAGTGATGGTGCAAATAGGCCACTCCTTCAGCTACATCGTTGCAGATGCTCACCAACTGGATTAAATCCAAGCCACGGTTTAATCCATGACTTGGATATAGATGCCTCTCCAGGCTCCCATTTGACATCAGAGGAAGGACAAGAGCCTTGAAGTCTTGCCTGCTGCAGATTTTAATGATCCTGATCAAATTTCGGTGCCTTGTCCTCCTTAGGACTTGACATTCCCTCCTGAAACTCCCTGATAGTTCTCCAGCTTTCTTCACGTCCAAAACCTTCACGGCTATTCTTGTGTTGTCCGGAAGAGTTCCTTTGTATACGTGACCACACCTACCTGAACCAATCAAGCTGGAAGGGCTGAACCCTCCAGTGGCTTCAATGAGTTGGTGGTATGAGATTCTTGGGTACTTGAGCTCTTTCCTAATTTCTTTTTCCTCATCTTCCAAGTCCCCTTCACTGAATATTTCCAGTCTTCTTCTGAACCTTGATCTAAGCACCAGAGGTATACAAAATACAGGAGTAACAAAGAATAACAGGAGGATTGGCAAAAGAACTGAATGCAAAAAACGTTTCTTCCTGCAGCTTGGCATGCCTTTTATTGATCCACAAAGGCCTTCATTTCCCAGGAAAGAGTTGATTGTCAGCAATGAAAATGCCCCCTTGCTTGAGACATTCCCAGAAAACTTGTTGAAAGAGAAGTTTAGCTCTTTCAGAGATGATGATGCCTGAAAAGTTTGTGGTATGCCTCCAGTCAATTGGTTTGAAGCCACATCTATCTTTTTCAGATAAGGCAACTGCCCTATTGAAGCCGGCAGGGGACCGTCAAGAAGATTTCCTGAAAGGTTGAGAGACTCTAGAGCAATGCAACTTCCAAGTTGTGAAGGGATTGTACCAGAGAGATTGTTCAAAGAAAGATCAATTGCCAGCACCATATCCATTTTGCTTAGCTCTAGTGGCAAGGGCCCATGGAGCAGATTGCAAGACAAGTTCAGGTACAACTTCAAGCTCCTCAATCCTACAATTTCACTGGGAATCGTCCCAGAAATTCTATTGTGAGAGAGGTCTAAAATCTCCAGGTTTACCCATTTTCCTAGACTCGGTGGGATCTTTCCTGAAAGCTGATTGTCATGGAGCAGAAGTCTCCTCAGCTGGGGCAGGTTAGCAAAGCTATCTGGAATTATCCCTGAAAGCTTGTTCTTGGATAAATCCAGAAGACCCAGGTGAGGGATATCTCCCAAAACAGCTGGAATGTCACCGGATAGAAGATTATCTGACAGATAGACCCTCTCTAGATTTTGCATCCTGCAGAGTTCAGGTGGAATGGTTCCATTCAAAAGGTTGCTAGACAGGTTCAAGAAGCTGACATTGACAAGGTTAGAAATATGAGGAGGAATGGACCCATATATCAGATTGTCACCCAGATGAATCTCCGTAACATTGGTAGAAAGATCACCAATAATAGTAGGTATCTCCCCACCAAGCTTATTCCCTGCTAATTGTAGTTCCTTAAAGTTAGATGAATTAACCAAAGAAGCAAAAAAGGGTTCGAGGTTGGTGTTCTCATCATGACTGACAAAATGGTTGCATGACAAGTAGAGGATCCGCAGCTGCGGCATTTTACTTATAACATCAGATGGCAGTTCCCCCGTTAGCTTATTTGATTCAAGATCCAGCCATCTGAGTTTTGTAGAGTTGGAAAGGGCTCGAGGAACTTTTCCCACCAATCTGTTGGACCAAAGTAACAAATACCTCAATTCTCGGAGCTCACACTCATTTCTCAGTGGTATTTCCCCACTGAGAGAATTGTTAGAGAGATCTACATACTGCAAAGCATTAGACCCATTGCAGAAGAGTGCTGCTGGAATCTCTCTCGTGAGCCTGTTACTCTGTAAATTAATGTATTGTAATTTATGAAGATGACCCAACTCGGTTGGGATTTCCCCCTCAAGAAGATTCCATGCTAAACTGAGTTGTCTAAGCTGCAACAGAGAACCCAGTTCTACCGGAATTCGTCCTTCAAGGAAGTTGCTCGAAAAATCAAGAACTTTTAAGGACGTAAGATTGGAGAAAATTGGCCTCGGAATCTCACCCACCAGCCTGTTACTCCCAAAATCTAGGAAAACTAATTGTTGAAGACGACCCAACTCAACTGGGATTTTCCCCTCGAGAAGGTTCGATGATAAACTAATTTTCTTGAGCTGAACTAGAGACCCCAGCTCTTCCGGGATTCGACCTTCGAAGAAATTCATGGACAGATTAAGAATCTGTAAAGACGAAAGATTGGCAAGAGAAGGTGAAAGGGTGCCACGGAGTAACTTTCCATAGAGATTAAGTTGCACCACTTGATTCCGATCATTGTCGCAGTGAACCCCGAGCCAATCACAGACATGAACGTTCTTGGGGTCCCAATTCCCAAGAGCATGTTTTGGGTCTAACACAATGCCCGCCATGAACGAAACCAAGGAAGCTCGATCCTTGGCAATTGGATCATCAGTACCCTCTTGAGAGGCACCCACGAACAGAATGCTAATCAAGAAGAGGAAACTGAATTTGGAAAATTTCGAAAACCCCATTTCAACTTGACTCAGAGTGAATCAAGAACTGAGCGATGGAATTAGCGAAAGCAGCACCATGCATTAAAAAGGAACAGGGAAATTTGAAGATGGTGGCTGTTGCCTAACTGCCGTTGAAGGAGGGAAGGGACGTTTGGCGCATGTGATGTTTGACCGTTAAAGTCAACCAATGGGAAGACAACAAGTGGCGTAACAAATAATAGTGTGCATGTCAGCAGCCCGCCTAAAAAGTTTAGCTGTCGTCGTTTAGGGTTGGAATTAGTGGATGCTGAGTTGTTAGGGGAGTAATATTAGGACAATTTATTTATACAAATTTTATTAAGAATACCATTTTATAGATTGTTCACTTAAAATTTATTCAGAACATTTGTTTAAAAATTTATTTTTTAATTGATATTTTTAAAAGGTAATTGATGAATTAAAAATTGTATTTATATAAATCATATATGTTAATTTTTAACTTGTTTTAATAGATTTAACTTTTTTATCGATTACACGAATTTAACACCATTAAATAAATATTAGTAAATAAAGTTTTTTTAATCACAATGTTATAAGTGTTAATTAATATAAAAATTGACATATATAATCTATATAAATAGAGCTTTCAATTTAATAATTAATTTTTAAAAATATTAATTATAAAGTAAATTTTTAAACAAATTTTCTTAAAAGATTTAAAATATGACATGTTCTACACAACTTTTAATTTTATTTATAATTTTTACATATTATTATATAAATAAACATATTTAATTAATTAATGATTTTAATAAAATAAAATAAAAAGCCAAGATTAACATTGTAAAAAAGTTACATATAAAAATTTATCTCTAAATTATTTTTACACGAAGTTGTTAGGAAGAGATAATCTAGGTTAATAGGGGGCATGCTAGTGGCTGACGTGGCAAAGAGGTGGAGTTTTGGTACACTTGTCGGCTTAAGTGATGGATCAGAGAGAAATGATTTTTATACAATCTTTTTATCTCATTTTTTTATACAACTTAACATATCATTAAAATGATTGATTCTTTTAATTGATGTGAGATATGTGATATTGAATATATTTACTCATTTAATAACATATAAAAATTGTATAAAAATATAAAATAAAATAATTATCCCTATAATACCCAAGTACCCTGAAATGTGAGTCCCATAATATCAACATAAAAAGTGAGGGGTAGGTAAGTAGGTGTCCAATTGGGTAACAATGCACTGAAATTTAAAATGACACCTCTCCATGCAATGCAACCAACCCTAATGAGGAACAACTTGTTGCTACGTGGTGTTTGGGAATGAAATTTACGTGTTTGTTTTGTTCTTGTTAAACATGCCTAAATGTTCTTACTCCCTCCTCTCAAAAAAAAATAATAATAATAATAAATTTAGTCTCAATTTATTAAAAAAAATTATTATTATTATTTTAAAATAGAAAAAAATAAAATTTTTTATATGAAAAAGTTGCCTCTTTATGACCTAATTGATTCTAGTTTTAGAGTTAATCAGGTTAATTTAAGAGTTGGTTTTGGTTAAATTTGACTCAGTTAACCTAGTAACTATCTCTAATTAGATGTCTCAAGAAGAAAAAGAAATTATTAATGCGAAAATTGCTAAAACAGGAAGGATGAGTTTCATCTGTTTGAAAATTAAAGGGTATTTGAAAA